CCTCCCTGGGGGGGCGCTGGCCCCCAGCCAGCCCGACACACGGAGGCCGGTTTGGCCAGACTTTCTCCCCCAAGTCAGACAGTCCCCGGCCTATTCCCGAAGGACCGACCCCCCAAGGACAACCTTGGCCGAGGCCTGGCCGGTACCGCGCCTTGGGCGTGGGCACGTGCCCCATGGGGAACTCTGTCCGGTTCGGTCACCTGAGACCCTGGGGGGCGCTGGGTCGGCATCTCAGGGCGGGGAGAGAAGACGTCATGGGGGCAGCACCTCGGGGGGCCGCGGGTCGTGGATGGCACGAGGATTGGAGAAATGGACAAAAGCGGGCGGACTGCAGCTCTGCAGGACAGCGGGTCAGCGGTGGCTGGGCAGCACCTTAGAACCAGGCAGGCCCCCCTCTAGGATGGTGTCGAGGTAAGAAATGTCCAAATCTGTAGGGACTTTTAATGCATTTATTAGAGCCAAACTGGTGACGTTTGCCCGGGAGTAACCTCTCAGTGGGTTGAGAAAACGCTCCTGAAAACGGTAGTTTTGCAGCTTGTGTTGCAAGTTAGAATAAAAGGAGGAGGCGCAAGGGGGGCGGGGTCACGTGGAGTCCATGGGCGGTAGATTAAGGGGGCGATGGAAAGCAAAAGTGGGGGACTCTCTGATTGGATGAACAAACACACACAGAATGGGCTGCGGGTTCAAATTGTTAGGTTAGGTGGCTCAGGAGGCAGCGTAGGAAATAAAGAGAGTCGAGTTCATCAGAAAAGAAAGAAAGGAAAGGCTTTATTCTGCGTCCCCGGGCCACCCACGGACCCCAAAGACAGGGCCCGTGGATCCGCACCAACAGGGAGGGGACGCTTTTTTATACAGCTGTTCAGTGAGGGCGGGGAGCCTGAGCTGTGGGAGTTCCCGCCGCGGGGGTCGTCACGGTTTTTCCAGATGTGTCATCTGCCTGGTAGCTGACCTGTTATGAATTCCAGGGCGGGACGGTATCTGCGTCACCATTGTCCTGGAGCACTGGCCTGTTCCGGATTCCAGGAAGGGCCCATATCTGCGTCACCATCTGCCTGGCGGAGGCATGCATCAGCTCCTGGACCCCCTCTCGACCTAACACAAATCAAAGTGTCCAGAGGGCCGCCTCCTCCCCGAGACTCGGGGGGGTCTGCTTCTGGACCCGGTCCAGCCTCCGGGGCCCCTTCCTCCCATTCAGAGTGCAGCCGCCGCAGCCTCCTGGCCTTGGACCGCACGTTTGCTGCCTCTCAGGGCCCCCGGGTAACCCAGGGCGGCCTCCCTGCCTGGGGAGCCCTCGCTTGGTCACAAAGTCCCCTCTGCCATGTAGCGGAGCTGCTGACAGGTCGGGGGAGCAGGACAGGGACGGCTTTGGGGCCTGTGCCCTGCCTGCCATTCCCAACATCTGGGTTTCACTGAACCACGTGTATTGGGCGTTAGAAGGGGCAGGAGCCCGGACACAGATGTCAGAAGAGGGGCGTCCGGGTTGTCCTCTCGTTACCTCTGCCCGGTTTCCTACAAGGGCACATACCGCTCCTGGCACCACAGTCATGTTGGAGTTGGTTGGCGCGCCTGCCAGTGCCCCTCGCCCTCCCGCTGGCTGCAGTGGCCTCTGCCGGAAACCCAGCACCTCCCCATTTCCCCATCAAGGGCAGGAGAGCCGCTCCGTCCTCGCCTGACACCTGTCAGGCTGACCGTTTGCACCTGCTGCAGGGCAGCTTCGGGGTGGGGGCTGTGCCTGGTGGCCTGCCCCAGCCGAGTCCTGGGCTCTGCGGGCCCCTTGCTACACAAGCAAGGACTGGCCCAGCTCAACACTCTCCCAAACTGAGTAACACTTCCCTTTAGCCCTCCCAGGCACAGACCTCCCAGGCAACCGTCGTCCTAGTCCCCCATTACTTCAGGCCAGGTCTGCGGTGAGCAGCCTCCCAGGTTTGTGAAACAGTTTGCCAGCCCCCCTCCCAGCCAGCTGCCTGGCTGTTGTCGCCTGGGAGACCTGCCTGACCCCACCCGCTGCTCCAGCACCCCATCCCCCAACCCCCTTTTTTTTAAATTATAAGAGAACATTCATTTAGGAAGTTACAGAGGCAGCAGAAGTGAGCCAACTGGGCGACCTAGGCTCAGGAAACACATAGAGGAAGAGAGCCTTTGGGGCGTAGGAGACAATGCAGAGGTACCGCGCCTGGAGGGAAGGATGGGGGGGCAGGGTCAGAGCTGGGGGGAGGAAGGGGAGGGGGGTCCCTGGGTACCGCGCCTGGAGGGAAGGATGGGGGGGGCAGGGTCAGAGCTGGGGGGAGGAAGGGGAGGGGGTTCCCTGTTACTCGCAGTATTGCCCCCCTTTGCACTTCCCTCAGTCTACATGCTATCAGTTTGCTTCTAAAGTTCATGTCCCACTCTGGGCTCCACCAGCACTGGCTGAGAGCTGTCCCTGCTTTGCTGACCCTCGTGGCCCAGGAGCTGGCTGGCACACAGTAGGTGTTCAGGAAACGGCTGAACTGATGCCTGCCTGAGTGGTGCGAACACAGAGCACAAGTGAGGAGGGGTCACTTAAATAGTGACGTCAGCCGGTTGACGCGCGCAGCTGTGGGCGCCCACAGAGGTGACCTGCTCGGGCCGCGTGCGCCTGGGTGTTTGAACCTGCTCTGTGTCTTGTGATGCAGCTTAAAAGTTTACTGTGCACCCGAAGGTCGCTCCCGTCAGGAATCAGCGGGTGGTGGTAACATGAAAACATTCAAACGCGTAAAGAATTCTTCTGAGTTTATTTGAGCCAAACTGTTGACAGTTGCCGGGAAGCAGTATCTCAAGGATTGGAAGAATGCTCCAGAGAATGGCATTTTTTCCCCCATCTATTTTTATACATCGCAATCAAAGGAGGGGACGTGGGTGGGTTACACGAAATCCATTGGTGATAGATTAGGGAGGCGGGAGAAAGCAAAGGGGGGGGGGAACCCCTGGGATTGGATAAAAAGTAAAATGATGGACACATGCTTAGGTGGGTGCAGGATAGTTAACAGTCAACAATTAACGTGATAACAACAATGAAGGAATTGGTGGTCTCTGTCCTCGCCCAGCACATAGGTTGTGCCCCAGGGGTCCGGAAAAAAGGGGAGTTACAAGTTACCCAGACATCTCAAGGCTGTGTTACCATAGATGCAAAAAGACAGACAGGCTCCGTGAAGGCAAAGGCTGCCCTTGTCAGGGAAGATACCGGCCCAGGAGGTGACTGCCCACCATCACTGCTTTAAAGTTTAATTTCAGACCATCCCTGTGGTGGCTTTAGGTCTCTGAGTTTGCAAGGCGGCCACGCAGGCCTCCCCTGAGCTGTCAGGTCAGCGTGCGCAGGGGGCATGTTATAAATGACTTAACCGTTTTCCGGCTGATAGACATTGAGCGCATGTTATAAATGACTTAACCGTTTTCCGGCTGATAGACATTGAGCCTGTTTTCAGGTTTGAACAGTCACCAAAGGCTGCAAAAGACACCGAACGCGTCTCCCGAGCGCACGCATGCCTATTGCTCTTGCCCGGTGGTGGGAATGGGCGCGCACGTGCTCTCTGCACCCATCGCATGGCATCCACATACCCTCAGTCACTTCCTCTTCCAGAGCCGGCAGCCAAGGACTCAGGTGTTTAGTTTCTGCTCCAGGGAAACCAGCTGCTGGGGGAGAGGACACTGCTTTAAAGTTTAATTTCAGACCATCCCTGTGGTGGCTTTAGGTCTCTGAGTTTGCAAGGCGGCCACGCAGGCCTCCCCTGAGCTGTCAGGTCAGCGTGCGCAGGGGGCATGTTATAAATGACTTAACCGTTTTCCTGCTGATAGACATTGAGCCTGTTTTCAGGTTTGGACAGTCACCAAAGGCTGCAAAAGACACCGAACGGGTCTCCCGAGCGCACGCATGCCTATTGCTCTTGCCCGGTGGTGGGAATGGGCGCGCACGTGCTCTCTGCACCCATCGCATGGCATCCACATACCCTCAGTCACTTCCTCTTCCAGAGCCGGCAGCCAAGGACTCAGGTGTTTAGTTTCTGCTCCAGGGAAACCAGCTGCTGGGGGAGAGGAGGGCGGGGGTCTCCACTGGGCCAGCCCGCCCCTCCC